TGACGTCGCCCGGACCGGTCTAACAGTTGCAAGGAGAAAGAACAGACGCGGAACGCACCATGGTTCCAGACAAGGTCTACGGCAGATTGACGCCAGGACCAGATACATATACATGCGAGCGACTCCATATCAGGACTCTCCAGCGAACGCGCGCCCCGACAACATTTCTTTTTCACAAACTTTGTTTTCAATACTTTTATTTTACCGTTGAAAGAGAGTTTTATTTTGCTGCACACCGAAAGCAACCCTCAGCAGTAATGGTTATACTCCTCGGATGCAATCGTAGTAGCCGACGCTCTTTTTGTTCTTGCGGGGTTGGTACCAGCTTTGCCCGAGGAGTAGCCTTTCGTCAGGGATAAACCATCTTTTCTGTTCTTGGCGTTGATGCAAAGGCACTATTTTTCATCACCAGCAACAATCTAGTACAGAAACCGTTTTCGTTGCTGATGGCTAAAGGTTGATGGGCCAGCCAAATGCAGCCAAATGTTTCTGCAGCAAATTTCTGATAGTTTGCAAACTGTTTTCATTACGCAGACATTATTTTCTAATGGTTGTAGATTTTACGTTACAAGAACACAGCCATTGTGGATAATTTGATAATTAGGCTGTTTAATATAAAAAAATTGGAATATTTAATATGTCATGGTTTTTATTTATTTATAATTTGGTAAAATTATTAAGTATAAGACAAAATTTTTAAATATACTATCTGTTTTTATTATAAAGGCCCCGAGCCATAACTCGTTTATCCTGTAAAGTATAATTATATATTTTTAAATGGGATGTTATTTTCTTCATACTGACTATCAGATTCTTGATTTTCATTGCAAGCATATCCTAAAGAAACTCCTCTTCTTTAGCGTTCCATACTAGTCCAGTTGGTAGAGGTTCGGCTTGTGTCAAACCTTGATAACTCGGAAATAACTACACAGGCCTACTTTAAATGATTAGTACAATAACAGGCTAATTTGCTGACAAAGTATTTTATCAGGAAAAAAAGTTACAACAATTTAATAGTGAAAATTTTTTTTAGTAGTTTTCTTTAAATAACTCAGCGGGACGACTTTGTACGAAAAAATGCTTAGGACATGATTGTGTTCGTGATAAAAATAGCCACAAAATGGCGATGGTCCAATTACGAAATTTATAAAAACAAAGCCGTGAGATTGAAAAAGCGGTATATAACGTCAATTTTTTAAAGTTGCTTTAAAAATGTCAATTTATAAACAAAAAGTGAAAACTCTCGAAAACCATAGTTCAATATATATACAATAATGACGCTAAAGCCGAAAATCAGGAAAGCAAACCTTTTTGTTCTATAAGGTGTTATACATTTATCAGCATCTGAAAGTTTCGAACTATGCCAAATTTGTTCGAAGCTTTGCTGACACTTGAAATTTGGTACACACATAGTGTAAATATGCAGAAACCAAGCAAAATTCAAGTATGTATCTTCATTTTTGCAGTTTTGGTAAGGTTTTATACGTTGCCCTAGTTTTATAAGTCACCGTTTTTTTTTTAATTTTTGGACGTATATTTATGTATATTTATAAAATATTCCATTACGGTAGATTAGCCAGCACAATTACCTACAATTTAAAATTAAAAATATTTTCATCGTGTAGATCCTAAGCTCCCTGTTAGCCATACTCGTACATTATTCAACATATCAACATATAACAAAAACGTACGTGTGGAGTAAACCTTTAACTTTAAGTAAACAATCGTTTAAATTTACTATTGCATATTTCTAATAGTATACAAGCGCCGAAGAGCGGAGCTCGCGCTCGAAAATGAAAAGTTAAAGGTTTACCCCACACGTACGATTTTGTTTTATGTTAATATGTTGAATAATGTACGACTACGGCTAACAGGCGCAAAATGTTAAGTAGCTTAGGATCTAAACGATGAAAATATATATTTTTTTAAATTGTAGGTAATTATGCTGGCTAATCTACCGTAATGGAATATTTTATAAATATACATAAATATACGTCCAAAAATTAAAAAAACGGTGACGTATAAAACTAGGGTGACGTATAAAACCTTACCAAAACTGCAAAAATGAAGATACTTGAATTTTGCAAATTGCTTTTGGTTTCTGCATATTTACACTATGTGTGTACCAAATTTCAAGTGTCAGCAAAGCTTCGAACAAATTTGGCAAAGTTTCGAGTTTCAGATGCCGATGAATGTATAACACCTTATAGAACAAAAAGTTTTGCTCTCCTGATTTTCGGCTTTAGCGTCATTATTGTATATATATTGAACTATAGTTTTCGAAAGTTTTATCACTTTTTGTTTATAATTGACATTTTTACAGCAACTTAAAAAAATTGACGTTTTATACCGTTTTTTCAATCTCACGGCTTTGTTATTGCAAATTTCGTAATCGGACCACCGCCATTTTGTAGCTATTTTTATTACGAACAAAATCATGTCCTAAGCATTTTTTCGTACAAAGTCATCCCGTTGAGTTATTTAAAGAAAACTACTAAAAAAATTTTTTTCAGGATTAAATTGTTAATAACTTTTTTCCTGATAAAATACTTTGTCAGCAAATTAGCATGTTATTGTACTCATCATTTAAAGTATTCCTGTGTAGTTATTTCCGAGTTATCAAGGAAAGAAATGTCACCTACAGTAACTTTTCGGCCTCTGCCGACTGGACTATACTGTTTTAGATTAGCTTCAAGTTTACTAAACTTTCTCTTGTTAGGGAAAATTCTATTAGGATAACATTGTCGATATAATTGTAAAACTCAACACTGTTTTTTCAACATTCATAAAAAATATGCGGCATATCAACTTCTTCATTAAAATCATTCATTTTGTTATAAATTAAACTTACTAGGTGACAGCAATTACAAACAAACCAATATGTGACAGATAGCAGTATGCGAAATTGTTTCGCCTTCTATTTGATATGACTTAGAAAGCGGGCACCGTAAACTAAAGTCAAGGGCTGGAAGCTTTCTCATTTTTTCTCAAAAATTTCGTTATGCAAAGGCATACTAATTTCATATGATTGGAAGTAGAATAAAAATCTATCAAAACAAGCAAAAAAATTTATACAATCCCATTTAAAAAAAAATGTGATAAAAAAATGTGTGCATCAGCATAAAGAAAATAACATACCATTTAAAAATATATAAATATGAATAGGAATGTCAAAAAAACTTGATAACAAGTCAATTCTATTATTTTAAATCAACTTTCCAACTCGAACTTCTAAGGCTAAAATTCATAGATCTCACTAAAGTTCCACTCACACTTATCTCATACTAAACTCACCCTAATCGTATTCATAAACAATTCCCCTTCATCGAGTCGCTTAAATCGTACTCAAATCGCCCTTACAAATGAGTGCTAGGTTAGTGACATATTAGTGGTATTTGACGTGTGATTTGTGTTCCTAATTTATTAATTTTGTGGTTTAATAATATTGTACCAGTATATTTTACAAATAATTAAGTCCAGGTATTCAATAAAGGATATTCTGTACGTGAGGGCTATATAAATTATAATTATTTCTAGAAATTAGTTCTGTTACATACGTCATAAATGATTGCTTGTCACTCATTCTACTCTAATATTCTACTAGTAGGGAAATGAATTAAATATGATTATTATTGCTTGGGATCTTTTTTACCTCAATAATAATTAATTAGACCATTTGGTTTTCATTATTTATTATTTAAATGTAATTTATCATGCATATATTTTCAGCGTGAGTTATACTGTGACATTAGGTTTCCACTGATGATATATTTTAAAATTTGAGTAGCCAACTGTTTCTTATCTAGTAATTTGTGCAGTGTGTCACTCATTTACATATATACATTTCTGAATACCAGAATTGCGAAAGAGATGAGGGCACCCTAAGTTGAGTGAAGCATAAGTTTGATATGAGTGAAATGTTAGTATAGATTTAGGGAAGTCTCTGAATTTGGCTCTAATTATTCATGAACTTGTCCCACTCGCTGTTTTTGGACAATTTATTCATTTGCATAAAAACGGTATCAGTTATTTCAATAACCGATATTTAATTTATAATTTTCTTAATTAAAGCGCTAAATTAACTAAATTTATATATGAACTTGTGGGTACACATGCCGCAAGTGATCCATTTTTAAGCATTACGTCAAGACCGTCAGCAGGACGCCACCGGACGCACCAGCATTCCAGGAAGGGTCTACGGCGGACTGGCGCCGGCGACCAGATGCTTACTCATATACCTACGACCGACTCCACGGACTCTCCAACAAACACTCACCCCGTCAACACGTCTTCTATACAACTTAGTTTTCAATAAAATATTTTATTATTACCGTTGAGAGAACGTTTTATTCTTGCTGTACAGCGAAAGCAACCCTCCAACTTTCTTATCAATTAACTTTTCTCGCATATTAACTTAAAGAAACCGAAAACGCTACTAAAAAATTCAATCACTTGACAATATTTATTTTTTTATCTAGGTCAATAACTCACTCACGAAAAAAAATGGCATTATTTTGTTCAATTTCTGGTTAGGTAAAACCAAATTTATACAAACAATCCCTTGACTAACCCTTTTTATACTATACAAATTTATTTATTTAAAAAAAATGCTGGTACAAATACTCATTAAATGAAAACGGTACACCTTATGCACTTTTATATATTGTGATAGACCGCCTATTAATTGAAATGAGATTTGATAGATCTGTCTTCAGTAATAAGGGAGGTATTACCAAAAGAGGAAGAAAAATTGACATTAATTCTATTGTTTTCAAAGGCGTACGGTAGCAAAACTCTTGCTATCTTTTCTAATGTTTCACTTTGTTGCCTTTATATCTATTTGTTTGTTTCGTTTGTAAACTAGACGTCGTCGGCAAACATTGCTTTCCGCATGCAAGCTATCGCTGCACCCTATCACCCACCCCACACCACAACCAGACACACGCTAGCTAGATCACTCGCTTAACCCGGTAGGCAAAAGAACGGTATGTTACTTGCAGATGTCTCTGCAGGTGTCGTGGGTGCGGCACAGGGACGTCCACCTGCTGACCGTCGGCCGCTACACCTACACAAGCGACCAGCGCTTCAGAGCCATCCACCAGCCCCACTCCGAGGACTGGACGCTGCAGATCAAGTACCCCCAGCACAGGGACTCGGGGGTGTACGAGTGCCAGGTGTCGTCCACACCGCACCTCAGCCACTTCATACACCTCACGGTGATCGGTAAGTATCTACATGGTGGATAATATTTTAGAGAACTCCGCGACTATTTGCGGGGGACATTCTTTTAAAATGTCATATATAGTGAGGATCCGTGAATTAAAACAAATTCATTTAAAATTCAGGTGCTTGTTTTTTGGAAAAACGCTCGGACCTGTTGATTTTTATTTTTAGCTGCGGTTTTTCTGATCTACGGTAAATTTATGTACCGAATTCTAAGTATGTTTCATATGCCATGTCCTGTAGTAGTATTTTGTATTTTGTAATTAAAATACTTTTGTTATAACCCCAAAAATGTTTTGTATTTCAAATACTTTAACATTTTTGTATTTTGTATATTAAAAATGTATTTAAAATCTTCTAAAAAAAAATTGAATACCCTTGAGTATTTAAAATACTTGAAGTATTTAAAATACCCAAAATACCTACACCAAAAACAAATACTTTTTGCCCGATAAAAAAAAGTAATAAAAAATTATGAGTGAATTAAATATTCTGCATCTCAGTAATCCAGATGAAAATGGTTGTTTCCAATCATGTCAGTTTTTTTAAAATTTTTTGATGATCTTGAAATCGGTCTTGCCTCACACATACAATATATTTTTTGAGTCACATCTTAAGAGTTTCAGATTTAATGTTTCACAAAAATATTTTAAATACTGTTAATGAATAT